TCATACACTTCATCCAGCCCAACCACACATCACGCGAACCGGCGAAGTGTTGACGTCCAATACGTCGTCCACCGTTCGCTATCATACCCGAAGTCGTGTTCCAGTCTCAGCGGAACTTTGTCTATAGCCTTCCTCAACTAGACGGCCTCGCTTGGTTTGGAAGAGGCGGGCGGGACGCATTCCGCACCAAGCCTGACAGGACAGCCTGAGGGACGGCGCTGGTAGATGCGTCGAGGGTGCACTCGCTCATTTCGCAAAGGAGCATTGTGTTGGGTGTGTCACCATACTCAGTCCCATCCCGGAACAAGCCCCATTCAGACCGGTTGGGTTGTAGGTCTTCACCAAGAGATGGAACTTATAGCGCGCGCAGGGTAAGCACTGACGGATGTGCCAATAGCGTGGCGGGGGAATTCCGTTCGGTCTCTGGACACGTAGGTCTTTACTGCGTCAATAGTAGCCCCAACTGTCTGGAGACAGAGACACGCACGTGTCGTAGGTTGCCAATCCTAGGTCGGCATCGTCACCAGCAAAGTTCGCCCGGGATCTACGTCCGTCACGGTGCAGTACAGATGCCTCAAGGGTTCGAGCAAGCACCAAAAGAGTATGCTACCCATAGTCGATGTTAGCCTCCACCCGGACAACAGCCCGCCATAGACATCGAACGTTTCGTCATGTATGTGGATACGTTCAGGGTATGCGTTATAGTACACGTGCCTTATTAAGCTGATGGTCAAATGCCGAGTAGTCAAGGGGCAGCGACCAAGCGCTAGCGGCCGGGCTACACATGTGTAACGGAGGCTCGGCTGGGCGACGGAGCCTCGCTTCCGTAGGGCCACTCTCCGGTCAGGTACAAATGGCGTTGGTAATTGTTCATAGAATCAACCGACTAGCCGACCTTCGACTTAAGACTTTCTTTTCTTAGATTCGATAATGGAAAAAAATAATATAACTTTAATCTACACAGGCGTCTCTTTGGGGGTTCTGGTGCGTGCCTCGATCTGAGGTGGTTCACTAGTAGCCGTTCGTGATCTGGAATCGTTGGGTTAACTTGTGTGCGATCTAGATCTTGAGTTTGTGTGCGATAAAGTGTGCGATAAAGTGTGCGCTAAAGTGTGCGATAAAGTGTGCGATAAAGTTCCGGTTTATGTGTTTGAATAATTCAGGGGTCGATCCGAGCGTGTTTAGTTGAGCGTCTTGTTCCTCTTGACGGTTTGTCTGCCGGATTGAGTTTGCCTTGTATGTAGTGGTATGAGATAGTCCAATGGCGTATTTGTCTCTTTCGTACTCTGTCAGCGGATACGCGACCACGTTTCCCATATGGACCAGCGGGGTGACCCCTGGTCTCGTCAACTGACGAAGGGCGTCCATGCTGATGGAGCACTCCAGTCGATTGCGCTGGCTGAGCATCCGGGTAGTTTCTGTCGTGTATTCGAACCCTTGCCAGCTCGGCGAGGGTTGACGTCCGGTCACGACGGCTGACGGATTACACTCTAGCGAAGCATGTGGCGCAGGGTTGTAGGCAGTGACCGCTAACGCAAGGGCCTCCCTCAATTCCATCCCGGTCGCCGTGGCTAAGGCGTCCTCCAAGAATCGATAGGTACTTTCATTTATGGCATTGCCCTGTGGGCATCACACTCACCACCGGTGTGTTTCTTACTGTCCTCGGGCAACGGTATGTTCCATACTGTTTCGGAGGTCCAGCTCACTGTAGACGATCCGCACAACCCAGTGTGAAATTCGTTCAGGCCCTACGGAGTGGAGAGTGCCCACTGGGACGCACTTACTCCAGCCCACTGGGACGCACTTTTGCGAAGCTGGGCTCGACCTTCACCACCGTGAAAGAGATCCTCCATTGGGTCCGTTGAGAAAGTAAAAGGCCTTGCAGGCCTTGCGCGGGCCCACGCTCAACTGTCTGTGCCCTGGGCATACCTGTGAGCCCAACTCACCGTTCTTTTTTGAACGGCAAAACGGGACCAAAAGTAGGCACTAACGTGCTGTTCTTAATAAATGCCCTTTTTGTCCACAACCATTGTCCACAGCAGAACCCAAAGTGATTTCTGAGAGAACGAGCGGCACTTGGTTTATCCGGATCTAACATCCGAATCCAAGTGTTGCCAGTGGACGTATCACTGGATTCGGAGCACACAGCAAAAGAGGAGCAGATGGGTATTGTTCAGAGAGCTGCCGATGGCTGATGGGTCTGCAGAGCATGTTCTCGATTGGTTGGGGGAGTGTGCTTTGTTTGAGATGAGCAATATGCACACAGCAAATATTCATGACGAGCGCGCAGCGGAGAGCGTGGCAATGCACTACCAGAAAGCCTACCAGAAAGCACACCATCCGAACGTAATGGGCATCCGGTCCCGAGTAGCTCGGTTTCGGGGAGCCGGTCCGGCACATACTGGTCGGGCAAAATAAGGCATTGCCGGAAAGACGTGGGCCTGGTTTGGATCGTCTTTTAATCCGACCAGCCTGAATCCGGGCCTTCGCTGTCGCTGGCTAGCGGCCGCAAAATTAACTTGGGTTCGAATTCATCTTCCGCCACGGGATTTTGCCACTTGAGAGAACTCAGGGTCTCAGCAAAATTCTGGCGACTCCAATCTGGTGGATAGATGCAGGCAGTCGGAATCCACTTGTGGATGTGGCACGAACGGAGCTTGACGCATACGAACCCGTATAAGTCGTTCTCTGCATAATGGACTGTGTGTCTCAGACGAGATACGGTACTGTAGTGAGTGTTGAACGGAGTGTGTGTCTCAGAGTGTGTGTCTCAGAGTGTGTGTCTCAGAGTGTGTGTCTGTGGTTCGAATCATGTGGTGGGTTCAAGTTTGTGTATGTTGGAGGTTCTTACTGACGTGAGCAAGTACTTCTACTACCTGTTGTTGTTTTACTGATAACATGGCGCCATAATAGCTCGCCGCGGCGGGAATTAGGTCTTTTTCTGGGTCGAATGCTCGGTAGACGACAAATAGTCCGCACACGCGTGTTTGCAGTACTGCGTTCACCTTTGTGGAGGCCCTGAAAAAGAGCCCTACCAAGTGCAATAGAGTTTCGTGAAGACTCTGGGTTTCTTCGCCGCTTTCCACGTAGCATTGGTGCAGGCTCTGCTTCTGAACGTTGCGCTTATTACTGTCGGCGGTTAGGGACTCTGTCACATGAGCCTGTACCTGGTCGACGTAGCCTCTCCAAGTGCCGCAGTCGCAAGCTACCGGCATGCGGTGCGCCAACAGGTACAGCAATAATGCCGAAAGCTCACCCCGGACGTCGGGCAGGCTCTCCGATACTTCGTACACACTCGTTTCTTCAGCACATCGCGGACAAAAGACAGACTCCAGATGCTGATCACAAAAACAATGCTTACACGTGCCCAAACTCATCGGCCGTCCCGGCAATTTACCGCACACTGCACAACACCAATGCGATATCAGTGAATCCTTCGCCACCTTCACCAACCTTCGACATGAAACCTCTGAGGCCACTGATTTAGACTCAACCATGCATCGGCAATTTTATATTTTCCTGCCCGCTCCAAGTGATCGTGGTACGAATTTAGGGTTGATTGGTCAACAGTGGTGTAACCACGGCCGACCTTCAGTGCGTGCATGCGGCGGTGCTCAGTTCCCTTTTTCCAGGTTGCCCTGGTGGAACTAGCCGGGACCTGAACTTATGGACTGTTATGACTCCCCCAGAACTGTTTCCTGTCCGCGGCACCATTCCAAGCTTCGGTCCAGGCGGGATAGCCAAGGCGGGATAGTCATGGCCGGTAGCCATGGCTTCATGCCGGGGGGATGCGGGAGACTCTGCGACGAACAACTCATATAATAAATGGATGGATGGTGCGGGTTGAATTTGAAGGAGGAAGTTGAAGCCGGGTTACTGAACGCAAGTTTCAACCGTCCTGCAGAAGTTCAGAGGCGTCTGATACCGCACATAATAAGAGGCGAAAGTATGTTGCCCGTCCCAGCTGACTGTTCCTACCCCCATTACCCTTAGTACTTCGTTTCCCTTAGTACTTCGTTTCCCTTAGTACTTCGTTTCCCTTAGTACTTCGTTTCCCTTAGTACTTCGTTTCCCTTAGTACTTCGTTTCCCTTAGTACTTCGTTTTCTTTAGTACTTCGTTTCCCTTAGTACTTCGTTTTCTTTAGATGTGTTAGGCCAGTCCAAGTCGGGTACAGGGAAGACTGTTGCCTATGTAGCTTCGGTGTTGACGGGAATAGATTTGGAATTTGAGCATTGTAACGAGCAGTTATCGCTGCAGCCGACGGGTATAAAGGAGGAATGTACAGTGAGTGTGCGGCAACGTTTACAATGTGTGGTTGTGATTCCCACGCGCGAAACAGGCGTGCAGGTAGCGAGTACGTTTACGCAAATTGCATGGCCGATGATAGACAGTGGGCTCCGAGTTTTGGCCTGTGTGGGTGGGTGTCCGCTTTCCTACGATGTGATTGGTATGCGGATCCATCGACCGCAAATAATTGTCGGCACGCCTGGCCGGATATTAACCCTTACGCAAGACGTCACCAGTTACACTAACAAGAAGTCCCGACAGAGCCAAGGAAGCGTTGCCCAAGGAAGCGTTGCCAAAATAGTACGATGGAATATTCCGCCGCTGCGCACCCTCGTACTCGACGAGGCAGACAGACTCCTCCAAGAAAATTTCCTACCGCAACTTCTGGCCGTGCTCGGCAACCTCAAGCAGTTCACCCCCATCCAGGTCGTAGCGTGCTCAGCCACATTCCCGCCGTCCGTCCTTAACCTCGTTGAACGCATTGTGTACGACCTCGCCTGTCCGGACCTGTCAAAACGGGTAACGAAGGAAAAAAAAGGGGCGGCCCGTCGTTCCGCCCAGACCGAATCAGTGGTGGATTCAGCTCTCGCCGATTCAACCATCGATTCACCTCTCGCCCAACCAGCCATGAATCCAGCCATGAATCCAGCCGGTGATACAGTCGTGGATTCGGATTCGGGTCTGTGCATTGTCGTTGATGAGCACGAGACGGAGGCTGAGAAGACCCTAGTCGCACGACTACCCCCTGCACGTGTGTTGCGAAAGTGCTTTCTCGCTTCTTCGTTCATCGATCACAGCAAGTCCAGCACTTCTGCTAGAGTCCCATTGCGAATGGACTTGGACCAACGAGTTATCAAGACGGACATAGAAACCCCTGTACTTCACCAGGTGCCTTGTACCATGATAACTGTGGATCCAAACGGGTCGATGTTCAGCTTTGTTATCAATCAACTTCGGATCTTTCCTGTCTGCTTCAACAAAATTTGCCCCACTACCGCAGACTCCACAACCTATGGTGCCGTGGCCGCTAACGAGGATGAATGTACCGAGGATGTCTCTAATGCCATGCACGCCGTCAATACTATGCATTCAGTCGATGCGGCACAGGCAATTGATGCAATGGATGTATACTATGATGCGTTCAATGAGGACAGTGCAGTGCATCGTATACGTGAACTTGAAGATTGGATGGATGATGATCAAGATTGGAATCATTGGCCAGATTTAAGAGTTAAATTTATAGGTTTAATAATCGTATTATGGTCTTGCTTAGATCAACAAGCAATTATCTTTTGTAATGATACCTTTAGTGGTAAGAAGATCTCCCAAACTTTAAGCATTCTTGGTATTCCTTCCGCCTTTATAAGCGCAAAAGTTGAACAAGCTGAACGAGATTCTTACCTCCGGGACTTCGCCGCAGGACGCCTGACCAGCCTAGTCGGATCTGATCTACTCGCTCGTGGAATCGATGTTACGCAAGTCAATCTTGTAATTTCTATTGATCTTCCTGAATCAAAGGATACATGTCTACATCGAATAGGACGGGCAGGACGATTCGGTAGACCCGGAAAAAACGTCTTTATCCTCAGACAAGAAGATGAAGCACACACTCTCAGACTATTCGGCTTCCAATCCGGATTACAAGTCTACGAACCAACCTCTGTTTAACGGCTCAATAAGAAGACATAATCCATAAGGAATTAGGCTGATATCCAAAGGATCGAGCCCTAGAGAGTTGCATCATACCGCAAGCCGGCGTGCTATCGTACTAGACAGTTAGGAAGAGAGCGAGTACGCATGCTCCTTCCTGTAAAATACATTCTTCCTACAAAATTTGACTATGGTCTCGAATCGACCGCTCGAATTATGCTCGGTCGATCTTCCTCCGGGCATCATCAATTGGTGATCTGTTGTGCGATCACCATTCCGTGTTCCACTCTGGCACGTAACTCTGGCATTCCCATTTATCGCTGCCCATTTGTCGGTTAAAGTGATTCATATGTTCACTGTTCTTTTTATGACATGACACCCACGACGGCCATGTGCTCACACCACCCAAATTCGTTCGTCAGCTCTCGTTCGTCAGCTCTCGTTCGTCAGCTCGTGTTCGTGTTATTATGCACACGGCGTCCGTTTTTGAGTCGTCGTCCACAGCTCGACGGCTGAGAGTTACTCCCTTAGGTCGGTAGCTGCTGCTATCTTGTTGGCGGTTTGGCACGCCGTTTCGTCGTCAAAGTGTCATGTTCCATGTGACACATTTCTCATCGAAACTGTGGCATCAAATTGGTCCTCCGACCATTACCAATGCCACGACCGCCTTAGCCACCGCCAAAAATACTGCCACAGGGCAAGCTTGGGGGGCACTAAAACAAGGGGGTTGCAGCAATGAATTCTGCTCACTACAACAATATGTCGATGCGGGCAACAATATTACGCGCCTGTTGGCACCCGTTGCTGGAGCCGGCACAAACGGATCATCAATTTATGACGATACCTGCCGGCCGCCCGCAGGGGCAGTCATCATGGACGGTACATCCGCGATCGCGGAGGAAATAACAAGACGCAGGCGAAGAGTTGACCGCGAATCGTCACAGCTCACTGTGCCGGCTGCAAAGCCTCCTTTGCACAGACACATGGACG